CATTGTTTATAGCGGATTACATTTACTGCTACGAATATATAGTTACCTAAATCAAGGCCACATAGATATGAGGCAATTAATTCTTGCATTTCTAAGCTTACACTGATGTCCAAACGATGCTAAAAGTCGCTATGGTCCCTTCTGCAAAATTAGAGTCCAGATACTTTCAGCGGTTTGTACGACTATTATACTCACGGCTATTAACGCTCACAACTTGCGATTTGTTTAAAAAACTTCGTTGATACAAACAGGCCATAGAAATTTTAAATCAACTCATGGGCTTCAAAATTCACTACACAAAATCTGACAGAAACTGTGACAGAGACATCTGAGAGTTCATAATAATAAATCTCGGTAGATAAAATTATACTAGATGATCGCTTTCTAGGGGCACCCAAATAACGGTGATGGTGCATTTAGTAAGCCTGTTAAGTAACGTTCACTGCTGTGCGAATACGAACAATTCGCTAACATAAATTATATTGATGTTTATAGGGTTTTCTCTTAAGTCGTGATGCTATTTTAACTTTATTATAATTATATACATATATTATGATACGTTTTCAACGAGGAAGAGTTCCTTCTTAACTATCCGGAGCCGTGAAAAAGTTGGTCAAAGAAAAGGTTACGAAACGACGAGGTGCGCTGACTGCACAGAGCAGCGAAAGTAATAATAAATATAACGCTTAATGCAATCCTGACTGGTCCACAAGGTTGCCTGTTGATATCCTGTACTTGGCAAGAAAAACTTAGACCATATGTGTTATGCCTTTACTCGGTGTTTCCTGCACACTTGCTTTTCTGTGCATCGGGCAAGTTCGTTTTGTGGGCGGATGTTTGCGTTCGTAAACTGTATCGTCGAGGCAGCATCGTAGTGTAAGGATTTCTAGTTCTTGTTAGTCCTGCGCAAGTAGATAGGCAGCAAATAGAAAAGACAACTCATTGTTAAAAGAGAAGAACAAAGTTAACGCGGACAAACACATCGCCGAATCTTTTACGTTTATCACCCAAATGATAAACAGACCCCTTTTGCTGACCCCTAATCAGAGCCGTTCTTAGAATAAAAAAGCTTTACATACAATTGAAATGGATTACATCAGTTACAAGTGCTCTATAGTAGCACTAAACTTGCAGGACCAAACTCTCAGGCTCCGTCTGTTTTTCAGCGGCGGAAAATTGAGCTTGGTCTAAAATGCCTTTCAGGCGCATTGGTCTGCTAGCACAGAAATGTTAGTGTTTTGTAGCTCTGATTAAAGCAAAATAGTACAGAAAAATATTAAATAAGTCTTTAACATGTGATTGAGTTCGTTGAAAGAAATAGTCTTATTAATAAGACGCCGGAACGTTGAAGCGTCATTGTACCCCGAAACGCAAAAGCATCGGTCAAGGTAAATGGCATAAGCTATAGAGATATGCGTGAGTGAACAGCGCTACGTGGATTGAGCTCTTGCACGTTTCGAAAAAAGCGGCTCGCTTTTTCCACATTCAGGATAAAATAGTTAAACGTTAAATACTGGAATAATAAATAAATACTGAATTTTGAATAAATCACACTCGGGTTTTTTAGTTTTGCAATACAATTGTATAGAAATCTTCTATTATGGTTGAAGAATAGCGTGATACTGAATTTAACCTCAACTTCAGAGAGATAGAATACACTTTTCTTCTACTTACCCAATGAGACCACTGAAAGTGCCTCAAACAAATTGACGATGACGCGCGGTTGACGCTATAAATACAATAGTGACATATATCACCTATTTGCACTAGCTAAAGGTCATCGCATTGACGCACGTTCTAATCGTCAGATCTGAGAAGAAGCCAAAAGATTCATAGAGAAGATTCTCGATGTATCCTTGCAACACGAGACTAGACGTGACTAAACGTAAGATCTAATAGTCTATTGATAGATTGACATGATCAGGACAATCAAGCAATAGGCTCACAAAAAAAATAAATCAACCTTATACACACTTAATTTTTACTGTAGTCAATCAGAGTTTCTTAAACTAGATTCGTTTGGCAATTTAACAGTAGTAGAAGTTGCATGATTAATAGTGTTTTATTTTTATCTATAAACATGTCCCGGTTATTATCCGAGCACCATTTGTATCTGATCATCATTTGAATCAATATTGATATCTGAAGCAGCATTAAGAGCATTGAATGTCCGTTACAATTCTTAAGGCACTGTATTAAAATAATGACAGCAGCTACTTAGACCGTGCCATCCTTTACATGGCTAACCCTCGTATACCTAGTCCGAGTGAAACAGCATGTGTGTCAAAACCATTTACTTAGAATAGATGTGCAGTAAGATTCCGTGGATAAATCCTGCGAAAAAGCATTGCTTTTAACCAAATACTCAACGGCGCTAGTAGTGGCGGCGGCGGCGGCGGGTTCCAAACAATAGACGGAATTTCGAGTCCTCTTTAACCTGGGCACCTATTCGATAACGAGCACTTTTGCTTTTTGAAATATCAAAATAGAAAAAAGGTCAGGGAGAGAACAGTACATTGAACAATGCTCCGTAGATTAGAAGGACGTCGAGGTGGCCGAAGGTAACGTCGCCCGTCAGGATACAGACAGCGGAAGCCCCTCACGGAGACAGTGGATGCATACGGGATGCCGTAAGAGAACTAACGTGAAGATCGCAGTGAAACCTTGGCAATATTCGAGTATGCAAATTTTGTTGCAAAATAGCCGCTAACAATCACGGAAGGTAGTGTCTATTATAATTGGATCGTCTGTATTTGTAGGTAACGACGAAACCCATTCGTTTGGTAAGGAGGCGATAGAACAGCAGTCGAATGCTTGACTCTTGCATGGTCGCAGTACAGAGCGCTTCGGAAAGAAAGTCATTCAGACTTTCTTTCTCTCACTTCTAGCCTCAGATGGAAGCGACAGCCGTATAGATTCACGACTGTTCTGCTTTTGAATTGTATATTTCTAAAACGAATGAAATTCGCTCGATTAATTAATGCTAATCATTGCTATATCGTTAAATATAGTTTTTCACTATTTTTTACTAACAAATACAAAAACCCTATTGTAGGAAGAAAACAATAAATTTTCTAAAATATCTCATTATTCTACAAGGGTTACTGCCATCGTGCCCTTTTTTATCATTATGCGGCATTAAACTGATTGTCGGAACGCCTGAAATATTGTGAAAATATTTTGATAATCGTGATGCTCCCTTCTACTAACCTGTGCGCAGTTTGACCTGAAGTACACTATAGATTTAACAATAATTTGTGTCCGTAACCGTAACGCACAACTTTCTCCATCACGCTATTAAAATCTCATAGCATGTAGTTTCCAACGGTCGTTTAGGTACACCATGGTGAGCTGCTGATTACCGGGCTAACAAAAACTTCGGCCTAATGTTTATCCGGTTAAGAAGCGCTGCGATGACCAAATGAGGAATAATGGACCGTGGCTAAATACACTTAACGAAAAGAACCGCTGAGCTCCAATCGAAGCCCTGCCATGACATGAAGAGACGAGGTAAACGCTTCCGTAAAGCACTGACTACAGCCTATATTGCATACATCGTTATTGTAGATCAAAGATTATCCATTTGTGCCTACATTCAGGTCGTTGTTTACCCAAAACAAATCACATTGACAGCATTAGCAATAATTTGTTGCAGCTTGGCCTGCGTAGTTTATGTTAACCGAACAACTACGTTACCATCGCCACTAGACGAAATAAGGACATAACGAATAGTAATATTAATCGATTCACCCATTTCCTAACATAAAGCAAATAGTCCCAGGAAATTGCACGGGTCGAATGATGAGTAGGGCATCCAGAACCTATTCACAACGTAAAGTATCATACTGCTGTCGCCCGGCAAAACAAGGCCAAGCGATGGCGTCATTTTTTCCAAGTTACTTAGCTTTTCAATACATTTTCGTAACTAACTCACGACAGCGAGGGTTACTTCATACTCTGAAATCAGAGTTTACGTAAATTTCTTGTGTAAGCAGTGCGAAACTGTGCTGGTGCTGCATAATAGGAGCAGTGTACGGGCGTGGTCACCTCAAATCTCTACAAAAATGCCGATGCATCTACTGGCAAGCCAGCGGTGGACCAGAGTAATCTATGGACTGCAAGTAGCTTCGAAAGCAGATGGGTTCTTAGCGGTAAAGGATACTTTGCTAAAGTATCCTTTACCGCTTTGGCGCAACGTAATGGCGACCCGCACTTTCACGGGCAATTGAAACATTTTTTGGACTCATCAGAATCGTGTGGGTTATAAACTGTTCACCGTCTGATAGCACAGTATTTTCCGGATAGGGACATTTGGAATAGGGTACGTGCGTTCGTGCGCGTGTGCTAAGTGTGCTGGTGACGAAAGAAGGCAGTAAAAGTAGGTCTCCTTCTACCCCGTCGGCAATGACCCTGTAAATCTACCGCTGGAGAAAGGTGTTAGACGCTAAAAAGTGAAGGGAATAGACGGGATCACCACAAGTACTACCGCGACAACAAGATAGATCTCAAAACCTCATGGCTCGTGCAAAACACCCTCATTCGCGTTAAGAGCCGGAAGTAGTACGAGCCGCTAATCGGCTTTTGATTCAATGAAATTTCGTACGACACACGCACGAGAAGATTGCGAGGAGGTCTGCACAGTCGGACGTAGCAAGCACTAGAGGACACCTGCCAAAGGATAAGGACATCTGGCCGGATAAGTGCGGCCGTGGAATGGCAATAGGTCAAACTTCAATATACCAATGAATACACTTGTCAACGTTAAGGCATATAAAAAAAGTTGTAAGACATCAAAATGCACTCCTGGTAAATAAGTTCCATAACGTAGTCGAAAAGTTGTGTTGCTCTGCTCTAATGCTATTATTATACTTAGCTTGTATTCCGATCACAAATGATATTGAAAGTTTTACATTGACTCCAAAATTGCTAAATATACATTGTATCTCTCTGCGAGAGATGCCAATTTCGGCAAGTTTCTCGATTTCGAAACGTTTATTTCGGTCGACTGAACAATTAAATTATTCGCAAAGTGTAAATTGTTGTGAAGCATGCACACGCTCGCGTCGCGGATGGATAAGACGCTTACCTTTTCATGTATGATCGGTAACAAATGTCTTCATACTAGAAGCAATGATTTCCAGCTGTCTGGGAGCTTTCCCTCGAGAGTTTAGACGGTGATCCAGGTAGAGATGGCGAAAGCGAAACTGGCAACAGCTGTCAACTTAGCAGTGACCCTTAGAGACAACTCACGCTACACCATTCACTGGGCTCACTGGTCAAACGTTAGATACGCGACCAAAGCGTAATGCCGGCGGGAGCTCTGCAGAGAAATCTGCGTTACATTCTGTGTTGGTTATTTCACAGAGTCACAGAGAGTATTACGAGCGCGTACTGGCTTGTGATACATTTGTGAGAGAATGAAAAAGATCACGTAGAGGTAGATCCATTAAATGCTGCCTTGAAAAAATACCTCACGTAAATTCTTCGAAGAAAAACTTTGAACTTCCTTGTTGATAATGGCAGATTAGAAACAAACCCCAGGGAAATACAACTCAACAATTTCTAACGAAGAGAAACCGCTGCGAGTTCACTATCAATCTGACGAAAAGGCCGACCAGCCTGTGTTGCCAATAGCTCGCTAGCTAAAAGCAAAATATGTAGGAAAAGGAGATTGGCAATCGCGAAGAAGCAATCAATACAATGCTAGCAAATCAGTTAGTAGGTTTATGTATATACGGTCATTGAAAGTATCGTTTCGTAAAGGGTTTTTATTGTTGGTGGTGACGAATTTTTATATACAATTATCGATTTTTGTGAAAAACAGTAAAAATAAATGTTGATTATTTTGAGAACCAAATGGTTATTTTGGAAAGGTGGCTGATTTCCATTACGCTCGTTTATTACATTAGTCCAAACAGTTTGTCTGCATGTGGCATCGTACATACATTATTATATATAAAGCCTGTAGGAAAAAAAAAGCATAATGCCCTTTTAACTTCGTTCTTTGTAATAGTTTATAAAGTATAAAGGTACGCTAGCTTTCGTTCTGCAAACGCTCCGCAGCCCAAGTACCCGGCACTTCCGAGAAAATGACCAGCAAGCAAGAAAACGGCGAGCAGACAACGACAGTACAACGCTGTTGTCATTGCAGCTGACATTGTTACTGCAACTAGCTTCATTAGGCATTTATCTTCCGGCGGAAGAAAGGAGTTGGCGTAGAGCCACGGACATGCCCATAGCGATAGTGGCCACGAAACTTGACCGTTGGAGCATCGTTGAGCGGCAATCGGATGTCAAAGACGTTGGCTAGTGCAGACTACCCATAGATCAACAGCTAGATGCAGAAATAATCTATACGGTACTGACTCTTTCGTGGCATGGCAATAATGTCTGCCGTCACGGTCGCAGCACGAACTTAAAGCATTCATGTATAATACATTCTAATAGTGTGACCCTGCATCTAAATCCGCACTATTACGTAGGCTTACTAGATATATATAGGCATATCGTTACGTTCATGTATACGCATACGGTCAACTAACAACCAGCGTGAGTGTTACATTATTGCTAACTTTAGGATCGGCCTATGATATTAAGTCTTTAATATAGGGCGTTTGCGTACAGAGCTTTACTGCAGGATATATACATAGTTAATCGGGTAACTGTTTACACGGCTACAAACAATTTTGCAACATCAAAGTTTAACCTCTGAAGTGGACGCATGATTGAGGATCAAATTGATGACTGATTAACGTTCGTATTTGTTCAAGTGTACACGGTGAGGTTTTACAGTATCTGCAGTTTCATGTGCTCAACCACATTATTATGACCAGGTCGCTATAGGGTCCACTGCGGCAACGATCGTACTTCTCACATTTGTAACACATGTGCATACATTAATTGAGCATGAATTTACGTGTCTAAAGTTCAAATGGTCATCTCCATCATCTGGTGATTTGCTCTCATTTCTTGTAGCATTTGAAACTGGCAGTTTGTTGGCCTGGCCCGGACAAATTGGCAACCACTATGCTCAGTTCTAGGCTATGCTAATTTCGATTGGGAAAGCATTAGTGCGGCCTGAAGGAGAATCGTATTTGTGGGGCCAGTATTACGCGGACCGGTTTTGACAAATAAAGATTGATGATCGGACCAGGCATAACCATAAGCTCGGCTGAATTGCACTTTTTTTAGGAACTAGCTTAAGGACCAGCAACATGGCCTGTATAAAATAAGAAAAAAACACGCACGAACATATATATCACCCATGAACACGTCCGCGCCCACATTCTGCCCGTCCCTGCTACCGTTATGTCGACTAATTGAGGACATCTATTTACATAAATACAACGCGGAACAACGAGTTACTCATTCATGGAAGCTGATCGGCTCGTTTACGCTATGCACACACGAATATAAAGTGTTTAATGACAGTTCTCTTGCAATAGATTTTTCTTAACATTAATTACTTTGTATGCGATGGAACAGTCGTGGCCATTTTGATGTGGACACTGTCACAAACGCCAGCAAGTATTGACACCGTGCATTGGCGTGCGACATCAAGAACAGGTATTTATTTATTAGAAACATTTTCTCTCCAATTTCTCGTAAGGACATATTTTTTAGATAGGCCAGTGCACTCTGACCCGACTGACAACTAGGCGGTTGTTCTATATTAGAAAATCCTTTCACATACATTTTGTTACAGATCAGATTTGCACCACATACTTTTTACATATGATTTGCCCTGCGCGTTCTGTTCGGGCGACCTGTGCCCTAACAAATTACAACGTATTATTGTCCTGTAGCCATAACCTGGTTACTATATGCGAACCTCATACTTTTGCGTAACCTTACCCCCACAGATGAAATCTCCTCACGGTATTGTTTATGTAATATTTACCGTGTCTTCTTTGCAAGCGCAATCGATACAGAAGCAATTAATGGCGATAGGTGGCATCGCTGTTGAGGGGTTTCACTCCTTTCAAAAAGCACTAACTAGTCTATAGTATATTTTTAAAGCTGATCGACTTGGCTATTTTTGTACCGTTTTTTAAATTAGGTGGCTGTAGTTATTATTAGTTTCCCTGGCGGCTGGCGGTCAGCACTAGGCTGGCACGCCTAAAAAACGGGTTTTTTTTTTTTACCTCTGACGCCTACCCCCTAACAATGTTAACTATTGCTTCCATTTCGTCCGCGTTGTTGAAATTTCATCACGCTTATATTGTGTATATGCTACACAGTCATGAACAGGTCAACGTTTTGCTTGTGAACGACCTAGTGGAGAAGCTATCTTGGGCATCTTTCAATTCGAAATACGTTCTCGTCGATAGACAAGGCCAAACGTCGATATTATGGTCATAGCGTTTTCTGTTATAGTTTATTAGCTTAAGACATCGAACAATATTCACTGTCTAGCGGAAGGTTTTAGCCAAAGGTCTCAATTTTAATCCAAAGTCTAAACTTAATCATGTTTGTCTGATAAGCTGGGCTACAGTGGTGTATTAATGTACTACTCGCGAGGACACGACGTTAGAAAATAGAATCAAGATATCATCATTAAGTGTGATATACCGTACATTTTCCTGACTTCACAGATAAAAACGGAATCGTATTTCGTAACTGCTATGGCGTCTTCCTTGTAATCCTAGTACTGTAACTCAGTATTATTTCAAATTTATGTCAAGCGATAAGGCTATACGAATCACTTGGGTATCAGTCTACAAAAGAGGGTTATCTTTCGCGGTTGTTCCTACTTGTTTAGTTCCTTCAGACAGTTGGACAGACTGAAGCTATTTGGACTTCGCATTGATTTATGTTAAGGTACAATTAATTTTATCGAATCCCAATGAGCTATGATTTCTAGAAAATCAAACTGACGACAATAGCCGTGCCTCAGTCATGTTACGATTTAGATCGGTTCAAGCATTGCTGAGCCGAGGCCCGTACTATGGTCCTAAACAGTTAATCCTGCGTCGAATATTCTTCATACATTCAGGAAGTTCAGTAGCGAATGAAGTTTCAGGGTGAAACTCATTTACTATCAGAACGCCCAAAAGAATCTATCGCGCCTACATGCCAAGATAGATATAACCTCACTTTTCAAATTGCACCTGCGCGGGCTGTCAAACGCTAAGCTCTATTTCGATGTCTAGATGTAGACAAGCTACTGGAACACTATCTGACACCGTGAACGCTAAAGCTTGCAACATCTCGTTGAAATTTTTAAGCAACAATCGTTCCGTCGTCGTCCCCGGAAGCCTAGGCCGTCGTTCAACTGTCTGCAGTTTATTCAACAAGGTCCAGATGACCTTCAAGCCTATGGCCAAGGTAGAATTTTAGTTCTATCCTTAAGTCTTCATTTTCAAGACGATCTGTCGGAAAAGATGTGCATGACGAGGGTAACAAGACCTTGAACGGCTGAATGCCCGATTGATCGCTGATGCAAAACGTGGACCGTACAAGTGGGTAACGCATTACGGCACCTCGACGCCTTGCCCGGTTAGGCCTGTGGCCCTCATAAATCACTTTTCGGAGATGTTTACTTCAAAATATATGAAACCACACGCGGTGCCTTTTTTGGGACAGCGTAGGAAAAGGGGAACTTAGCACAACGCAGTATCCTTCAACAAGACTTCACAGCGTGGGCACTAATGTAAGGTCTTACGAACCTACGTAATAAGAAAGCCGTCGATCCAGATAAGTTCTACGACGAGCACCCACCTCGAATGCGCCGTTGTTTTGGCACCATGGTCGATGGCACTATTTAATAAATGTTTGCATACTAGTGCATTTTCAGTCCCGTGGAAAGAAGCTATTCTGTTAGTAATCGCGCCGTCATCATAGAGGGCAGTAGCGAAAAAAGGCGTCTGATTTAAGCTGTTTCCCAGCATTGCTGGCTAAGAGTCTGAACAGCTATTCGGAAAGCGCGCACACACAATTTCAGTGATGAAGTGTGGGATTCGGAAAGAACGTTCCACAAAAACGGCGAGCAGGACTCTGATGGTCGATGTTAAGAAAATACTGACCACATCGTGCAACCCGATATACGCGGTCTTTTTTCGATTTTAAGGCACCCTAAAATTCGGTGCCCTGGGACAAGAAAACACCCACAGTAGCCGAACACAGCAAAACAAGGTAACCTTCGACGAAGGAGTAGCCGGACCCCTTTTTGACCGACAAACAACCAGCCTTGGTCAGGCTTCCTCTCTTTTTTGGTGGAAGATCTCTCTGATCAAATGCAAGGGCCGAGGAAGTTAGTCGAAGTCATTTTGCATGCCGACGATTGAGTGGTATGTGTGTCGAAGTTTCCGAGTGCAGTAACCGCTAGGCCGGGTTTTAGGCTAGATTTAAAACTGATCGTACACCTGCCCGAAACAAAGGCGATGATCCTTGAAAGGAAAGGCAGGACAGTAACCACAAACGCGGTGCTTGGATAGATTGCATCTTGCCTATACTAGCCGGTTTTCTTCTTCGAAGTTGCTTTTCTCCGCGAACGGCAGAGCCACGCACGTCACCGAAGGATACTCGTTCTTGTACTGACTTTTATATATGAATCTTTTTAATACTATGAGCAAAGATGACTAGATAGAATTTAATTGATTGTTCAAACCTAGCTGCTAACACTTAATCTTTCTACTCGCTGGTAAACAACTCGATGTCGACTCTGACGTAACAAGAAGCAAACGCTTTGTAGACATTGCATCACAGAGAGACAAAACTATGACACAATAATCTGCTTACTATTATACTATCACATGATACTGACAAAAGAGAACTTGCTTTTATATGACTACGACCTTAGATAACAATACCTACTTTTTCTCGCCAGAATCAGTCAGATGTAGCGGTGTTGATGGGCATGTTGTTAGAATCCTGAAATCTGCGTCGGCTTGACCGAAGAGGCTAGCTTCTTCTATCGTTTCCATCGCTAAACTATGCCTGTATGCCTGTTCACCCTGGTACCGTAACCAGAATCCACTGCCCGCAGTTACCAGCGATCTTAAACAACTACTAAGACTATAGTCGATCATCGTACGTCTTTGCTATTTTCATATAAACCATTTTATGTTCGGTATAGTAGCTACTGGCCGGTTTCAAAAAAAAAAAAAAAAAAAAACCAACTAGCTTTAGCGGCTACTCGCAAGATGGTTGCTTCCTTTATGAGAGGCACCATTCATATTTATTTATTTGCCGATAAAAATATTTAAGAAGACGTCACTCAATATTTTGTTTGACCACAGGCGTAGCACTGAAATAGCTAAGAACTTCAAATTTTCTTTATAAGTGACAGGCCTCGTTAATGCGGTTTATCTACCATCAGCATTCTATCCAACAATGTATGTCAGTATCAACAAACATGCAATTTAACTGGATAGCTGTATGAGTGAGCAAGCCATCATCAAGGGTTCTAACCATTATTTGGTGGCCGAGACTTCAATTAATCTTTGACTGTTAGTAGTGTACAAATTTCAGGCAACAACGAACGCATGACAGAATGCCGAGACAAAAAAAAGGCAGTCGTAAAACCAAGAAGAAGCGTCTGTCAGGAAACGACGGTGAGGATTTGCTGAAAATGATCGGTTTATCATCTAACCCCGACAAAAAATACATGACCAATGAGTCCATAAACCTTCTCGAGGAGATCGGAAGGTGCTATACTGAAACTGGGCGACACACTGGTGAAACTGAAGGGGATAACCTGTTAATGTTGATCGGAGCTAGCTCAGCAGATCAAGCGGTAAAGGCGGTAAATTGTGCCCCCGACCCCTCAAGTATTATCGGTAAGCAACCAGCTATTTGGTGTGTACGGTCACGTCCGATGATGATGATGATATTATTTATACGATTTCTTCTCTTTATGATCGTTGTCGTCCAATTTAATCCGCCTGGCACGAGCACTGAATGAATTTCATCACTGAGTATACGATTCGTTTCTGTTTACTGTCTAGCTCAGGTTCAGGCCGACGCGCTGGCACGGCGTAAACAAACGGAAGAGCAAGATCACGGAGGTTATCCGCAAGGCATACGTTAAAAACTGGCAAAGCAAAGGAAGTATTTCTTGAGACATCGACTAGCCTCCAATAGGTGTATGGCTACCAATCAGCATTTCCTTCACATGGTTACTCACATGTTACAGAATTACTCACATGGCCATAAATGTCACGTAATATTTGTGAGTGATATATAGGTATAGGGAACCTTATCGAATGGACAAAATCCACCGGGTATACGTCTTCTAAATTTTGAACTTCCTCATTAAAAGAAAACTTCATTCGGCACTTAGCTCTTACTAACAGCGTTACGAGTGGTAAATTCAGGTATGCATCAGTGATAAGATGAGCTAATACAGTTTACAAGTAAACGGAAATTTACTTCGACACTTGAGTTCATATCTTGTACGACTAGCAAACACTTCAATAGGGGCCAGTGATCCGTTCTTTTTCATTACTTAATGCTGGAATCGACACGGCATCATTCACACTTCACTGAACTTATTCTTACGATGCACAGCTGGAAGTTTTTATCTATTGCAAGTAATGTACGGCATTAAATAACTGAAATTAGAAAACAGGAGATGAGACCATAGGTGTACAGTTATAATGATGATGATAATATATATGCGAAAACGCTGTGCAGGCAGCAAATGGGACGTGGAGCCTTTAGTATAGGCCCAGTACAAATCCGATAAATGGGCTCACCTTAGCACGATGTGATTATTTTATCGCATAGTTTCGAAGCCGCCAGCCATGGCTGACGCGTGCACAACGTCTCTACGATGAAAGCCCTTGTAGTGCAACAATTTTATTCGCTGTCTATGTGCAAGCTTTCGTCTCCGATTCCTTCTTCTAATCGATGGCCTCTGAGCCTTCGATTTGTACGTCTGTGCATAGTGACTTCGTTGCTACCGCTACAGCCATGGAAAAACCACTTCGTAGGTCCAAGGCCGTCGTCCGAAAGGGGAATGGATCTCGGCTACCGATGTTGAGGTCTGGCGAGCAGCCAGGACGCTAGCAAAATATATTGGTACGTAGTGGTAATGTAGTTAATCGCTATGAAAACCATCTTTTCCGCCGCAATAGATTGGCGCGTCATAAACGATATATATACTTCCGAAAATAGAATTTATTGTGTTATATCGTGTTTTTCCTATAAACCTTACACATGTCCATATGTACTTTTGTGTAGGGATTCGTAGACAATCCATTTATGTTATTTTATAACACCTGCACTAAAATTTACCACTAAATGCATTGTTCACTCAAAAATATAAAAAACTAAAAAAATGCTTCGTAGGGCTATATTGAAAGGCGACTCATCCTGACTACGGTTATAATAATAATAAGGAATCATAGAAAGTGTTTAGCCTTCAACGGCTTCAGCTCTACAGATGTTTGAAGTCCACCCTCTTGTACCCATACGTGTTCAAAAGTACGGAGCTAAAATCTTTAAAATTCGTCAAAAAGTAGTGTTGGACTTTGTTATTTCAGTCGCATAGTGATACTGGCATGCCTATGCCTTTTGTAACAGCTTTGATATAGGTAACAGGATTCCATTTCTTGTGTTCCTTTAAAAAGCTCCATTTTGACCAACCACCCTGCGTATTGTAGACCTAATTGTAGTCCCATTTGCCCCATGACAAAGAAGGAACAAATATGAATATGAGCGGTAGAGTATTGGATGTAATCCTTATTGTAGAGCACGATAAAACGAAGCGAAGATTAAAGTGTACGGTAGATTTGTTGCAACACTGGAGTAAGGCTTGGCAATACAAGCTTTTTGGTATAGTCCCACCCATTTATTATATACAGAGTGCGTACGTTGTTCAAGTGTTATGTATACTTATTCAGAGAAAAACTTCGAGAAGGACCGTGGTGATCTAATCGTTTATTAACTGGAATGGATATGGATTGCAGTATCGCTGTGAGAGCTTCGGCAGACCGATAGGTGGGCGTAACATAGAACAGAAATAAATGCGAGGTGGCTATTGGCGAATATACACGAATGTGAACTGTATTCCCGTATCAGAAGCCCCCGTCTAATGTATATACTGGCAGAGTATTGGGGTTACGGTTGTCCCTTAATATTTTATATAAGCTTATCTCAGAATTGGACTAATCATTTATGGAAACAGGCTCCTTATAATAATGTTCATATGCGGTTTTGTTATCAGTGTTTCGTTACTGTCTGTACGACGGCCTTCAGTGGTTTATCTATCGTAGCTAGTTATTAATTAGATTTGCAATGGGATTTCAGCAATCCTATGCGTTCCACGATACCGGTTCTTAGGTATTCGGTGTGAACTCGTTTAAAGGTACCTAAGTTTTGTTTACTTTACGGCATCCGAAGTAATTTGTCATTAAGATATGTGTTCTTTGTCTGCGTAATGCATATACGTTCTTAGGAACACTAGATATAATTTATCGGCAAAGAAAATATTCGTTCGTCAGATCGAGCGCAGATACCTCTGTTCTGAAGCACTGACCCCAGGATAGGTTAAAGGAACTGACCCAATCGCTTAGCACATAATACGCTGTTCATTATTAATGGCTAGTCTGTGTTTACTGCTGAGTTCTGCCGTCCATAATAATAACGCACTAGCAGATTCAGACTTTAACTTATCCGACCAGGTCGACATTTTCCACCGACAAACTGTAGTCACGTCCATTGGTGACATCGAAAAATCACCGTTACCCGCAACATGTTTAAATTGTGATCTTGTTCGTGGCTGTACAAATTCAGCAAATGTAAGAAGCCGAAACCAAAGATTTACTTATTGTATAACTGCTCAAAAGTTAAATGCAATTCATTAAATAGACTAGTGTAACTAACTGATGCAAGTTCTGCACTAAGTTGCAAAGTTTCGCGCACTGATATTGCTACTCGAGCCCGTCTAGAGACTCCATTTCTGGATTGAGAGCATGTTAAAGGTTAATTTTAGCGTAGAACGCGATAGTGGAAATTAAATCAGTTGTGATAATCATGGATCCGCTTAATCTTCCCCTCGCATTCGATTCGTGTAAATAGCTATTTTCCGGTTTCCGTGTCCAATCGTCAATCCCATCGTTCAAGCTCTTACAGACTCCGGTGTCAGTCTACTCGATTTTATTTTATGCACCCGGCGGTACCCCCAAACTCCTGATTTGTCAGGAGCAGATGAGTAAACTAGTTTCTAGAATACATCGTGAGAGTGCGTACGCACGAGTTCCCCGAACTTCGTTAGTGGATGTTAGTGCCGCAGTTACGTTCCGTCAATTAGAGTGGCTCCCTTTTCAGTTACAAACGTGTACTTTTCCCTCGTACCAAAGCAGCGCTGATGTTGATCAGACGGAAGTCTTGCCAACCAAGCGACTCAGATGTTTCAGTTACAATAATACCATCAGTTGGCAGTAGCTTCAGACGAATATTTTATAATGTGGATACGTAGCGCGTGAAGAAAACCCGGGTAAAAATGTAAAAAAAACGGGTAAAAATGTTTGCGATGAATGTAACAAGAGTCCTTAGTGTAGTCCATTCGTGTACTGTTCGAAATGTAATAGAACATTTCGTAGGATCTGCAGAACCACTGATTAGATGGACGCACCGCGTATACATTACGCCAACAGGGAAGCAGTCAAGGGAACGATTTTTGAAATGTCGGAATAGATGCGTATATAAGTGGGAAAAAATGAATTGTGTATTGTTTCTGTTTAGTCGTATGATGGCCTCAGAAAGGAGAGTGTAATCGACCTCAATAACAAATAGCAAGATGGCCGACTTCCGAACCTTTGCCCTGAGCCTGTGTACTGTTCATTCGAAGAAACTACGTACTTTTAATTGCCTATAGCATAAACGAACCCATTAGTTTAATTTAAAGAGTTGAACAAAAACGCCAGTGGCTGTCCGCGTAGCAATGGAGAACGGGTATCGAAGATGCGATGGTCACGGTTGATAAATACGTCGACACCGTGAACATCACGGTAGTAGTATTCGTACAGGTGCTATGAATGTATGAGAACTAAAAAAGGTAAGTTTAAACGATACAATGACTGTGGGGGGAACTGGTCCATTAGCGGACAGGGATCTGACGTCCGCGTCCGTTTCTCTATTTGGTCAGGATTGCAAAGTGGCGAACTATGTTCTCAAGTAAAAAGCGACCAAAAAGGATGGTACGTTTTCTGTCAAGCCTCTATCCATTATAAAGGCTGACTTACAGCTATGGAGGCGAGGTTACTGGATAAATAGCTTTTAAAATTACAAAAATCAACCAATAAAGGATCCAAAAGGAGAGCAGCAGATCAGAATCAACGACAGTTCGAAGAACACCGAGGTACAGCCGCGGCGCTCGAGCAGCTAGATCAGCTCCGTGGAAATCAGTTAGCAGTGATATAAGGCCGCATCGTCGTCCAAACATGGTACTCACTGTCGTGTCAGCGGAACCGAGAAGTACCTTCCTTTGCCACGAACGCTAATAATTAAGGATCTTCTTCTCTTAGATACGGCGCACTTAGGACGCGGCGGCTTTCACCAACGACATTACAACTATGTTAGGGATTGATCTCGCAGTGCTCGATCGGGCTAGGCTTTTCGAGACGTTGAACTTCCATCGAAAATTGCTCGATGAAGTTGCGAAGGTGCTACAACATTAGCGTTCCCTAAATTGACGATCTAAGTGGGTGTATGAGATCCTCGTGTTGTTGGAGACCTGGGCGATTAATCTCTTCGGCTTTTAAGCCGTAAAGCTGCTCAGCTCGGACAATAGCGACTCAGAACGTCTCAGTGGAGGTGTCTATATTTCATAATCATAAGGAGGTGACGTCTAGCAAGACTATAAAGTTCGCGTTATCGCCTTACTTGGCCCACGCATTTGCATTATGACAGGCTTCTCCCCACTCAAGGTAGAAAATAATAGAGAAGCTCATTAACGGTCTGGAAGCACTGTTGCTGCCCTTGATCTTCCCCCTAATCATTGTGGGCAATTTTAACGCCCACTTAGACCGACCCAACTTAAGTTGCACATTAGCGCTCTGAGACATGCTTGCAGGCCGTAGTTGCTGGCTAATGAACTCGTGCTCATTAGCGACATCTGAGTGACGCGCCGGAACATCAGTTATTAATATGTTTGCAACGAATGTTACCCAAAATAAGGTTCACTTTATAATAATAAGGAATGACTCACCCGGAAAGTACGAGTAATATGCCCCGATTGCTATAGATCTCGCGATGCTGGTGGGATCATCCTAAGCCTCCAGATATCAGATTCCTGTCGCGTAGCCTGAGTGTAGAATCTTCTGGAGCGCATACACGAGGTAATCTTAGTACCTCATGCCATCAGCACCTCGAAATAATTCAATCGTCGATTCTCTTTGCCTCTTACGGAAACCGCAGTGTCTGATTCGATGGTCCCTGTCGCCTCACCCAAAAAGCCGAAAACGCTTTCAGATTGCCAACAGAGTGCAACCCGCGGCCCCCAAAAAAATCTGTCGAACAGTAGACATCACACAACGGAAGAGAGATCAGAAGATGTCGAAGGATGGACAAATGCCAGATGTACAGCGGCAGCCATACAAATAGCTAATACGCCGTGGCTCGATTCACGTCTAATAAGCTTAACTACACTGGTTAATCATCTCGGTGGTATGCTTTTGTCGAGCGATACGATCCTTAAAGTGGTGCCACTGTTCTCAACGGTCGGTGAGGAGTTTTTCACAAAAGAGTGCAGCCTGGTTGAGCAAAAGTTTACTGAGTTAGAGGTCCTGCACGTCCTCGAGAATCTGCAGAACAGCAGAGCGGCCGGCTCGGACGAGGTTCGCAATTAGTGCTTAAGAGCGCCCTCGTTCTGAGTGCGGTTTATGTCTACGTACCGCCACTTCACTGCCTCAGTACTAAAACGTTCATTGTTGGCGATTCTCAAAGGCAACGGTGCACAGTTTATCGTCGTTATGGCTCGGGATCGCCAAGAAAAGTGTAAGTTGTAACTACTTGCCAATTTGCTAACCAAAAGATTATTCGTCTTCACAAAAAGCAGCAAACGGAACAATGGATTTCGGCAACAGCATTCGTGACTGATAGCATGCGGTGCATTAATGGTCTATGTTAAAAAAGCTTTTATAGGCGGTATATCTTGATATTAGACTTTCATTCAACTTCGCGCTTAGAGATGAGGTTCTGCGTACCCTGGGGTGCGTTGATGTACCATGAAATGGGTTTGGCCTGCTGGCCCCGACCCTACAGGACAACAAAGTGATAGAGCTGCCCGTCTTTCCAAACGACTGGCCTCACCCAAAGTGATAACCTGAACCCCTTTCTGTTCTCAGTCTTACA